AAATGGATATAAATAAAACAGTTTTTAACAGTGGTATTCCACTGGTAGTGAAAAAAGTCTTCATAATGAGATCCACTGAATGAATCTCAGAGATGACAGGATTTATTCCTGTGCAATATTAACCTAGGTATAATTACACCATTCATAGACAAATGTGTATTTTGGATAAATATCAGCATTAAATAGGATTTTTAAAAATAAGGGTTTGAAATGGAGTTCAAACAAAAGTCTTTAAGTTTTTCTCTCAGTAGATTTTATTTATTTTAGAAATGAATATGTGTGCTTATGCCAGAAGTTTAAGTTGGCCTACATCCTCTAAATTTGTGTCTTTCAATTCTCAGCAATTTATTTATTTTTTCACATTTGCAGTAACATAGTCTGAACAAAACAATGGCATTTCCCAATTGGTTAGTTAAATTTCTCACTTTCCCCAATTTTACCTCCTGCTCTGTTCTTACCCTCTTTTCTATTCTGGCTGAGGCTTCAGAATGCCCTAGTTTTACATGTTCTTAGCCTCTCTAAAGTAGAAGACAGAGCATGTAAAATAAGAGGCATGCTTCTGTGATCACAGGTGATGAGCTTTTCCTGCAAGAAAATACATGGGAATAGTGAGGAGGTGAAGGGAACCTTTGCAGTAGCCACTGGTCATTCTCTCCATTCCTGGCCTGGTATGTGCAGCAAGGAGCTGCAGCAGTGACTTACCATTGCTCCACCTGAAGGAGCAGTCCAGAGTGGCAGCCTGTTGTCCTCTTGGAAGTGGGCAATTTTACATTGCTTTTGCCAGAAGCACCCACCATGCTTGGTCCAGTCAGTTTGACTACAACAGCGTGAATGTATAGTGGGAGCATCCTTTAGAATGCCACCAGTTTTCTAGCACAGATGTAATATTTGCAAACATAGTCTACCCAGGTGCAAAATGGGCCATGCTGAGACTACAGAAAGATCCCGGCATCTTAGTGACCTGCATGTGTTAGGTAAAAAGCTAAATGCATATTCGGAGACAATCATGACTGGCTTCAAAAACATATTTTCATGATCTTGTTCATATGACTTTATAGCCATCTCAAAGATTAAAACCCAGATTTGCAACCTGGAGTCAATTCTTACCTAAAATTTTTTTATGATGAAAAATTGCCTGTCTGTTCCTACTGAACAGAAGTTTAATTTTCTAAGCATAGAAATTTCAAGTAAAAATCACATACTTCATGACAGAAAATATTTCTAAGGTAAATGTTATAAATAGGTTTTGAGTACTTGTTATGGGCAAAATGCTGACAGGTTTGCAGTGAGTCCAAAGTTCACTCACTCTGAAGACTTTTATTAGGCCAGCATTGCCCAGGCTAGTTCCCCATGATACAGTCATACATGGTGAATAAATGGAGATTTTTCCTTAAAGGAGCTTGTTAGCGTGGCTGAGGAGAAAGACATGCAGACAGATAATTACAAAACAAAATCACATGAAAGGGCATATTACAAAGCCTTGGGTAGTTAGGGTAGACTTTCTGGAGACAGTTCTATTGGAACTGTGGTCAAATTTATGTAGGAATTGGCCAAAGGAAACATGTTATTGGTGATGGGAGCATTGAAATATATTCCGGGTGGAGGATATCACATGTGCAATCAAGAAAGAATGAGTTGCAAGTGTTTATCACAGAGTGACCTATTCCATAAGACACTAATCCCATAGAGGAGGGCTCCACCCTCATGACCTCATCACTCCCAAAGGTCCCATCTGCAAACACTTTCTCTTTGGGATTAGAGTTTCAACATAAGAATTTGGGGTGAAACAAGCATTTAAGTTTTTGCAGTATGGTTTATATACCAAGAATGACTAACAGTCACAGCTTTGGACTACTATTTTCCCAGGTTTAAGCCCAGTAGAAAAGAGGGTCCCTTCTATGGTTATGGAACAGCAATTTGCATTGGCTCTGGCTCTGAGTAGGTCATTTGCCTCTGTTAAATAATAACTGCTGTCAGGGGCATCTGGATACTGAATGGTCAAACTAGGAAATACCTTCCACCTTGGAGCAGAGGTTGGACTGGAGGCAGTTATGCACTTATAAATTGGCTTTAAAGATTAGAAAGAAAAAAAAAGGCTTTTTAAAAGCCTTAGTGTTTGTGGCATTTATTAGTTTCTTTAGTATAAATACTTCCATCGTGGCTAATTTGAAGATGCCTGACTTGCATGATTCCTGAATGTTTAACAGTCAGCTCCAGCATACCATCTCTGGGCTGAAGGAAGAGCTGCCAGAATCACAAGGACTGCAGGTGAGGGAGGGCATGGTACTTTAAAAGGAAATCAAAATGGTACCATAAAGAGAAGTGGTGCCAGGTACCCAAAGCCAACAAGTAAGTTTGTACTATTCCATTGTAGAATTTGTACATATTCTTATGTAGTTTCTTTGGATAACAGTTTTAAGGACCATATAATATTCCATTCTGTGAAAGTTTACCTTTCTTTTACTGTTGAATGTTTAAATTGGTAGAATTCTAAATAAAACTTCATTGGACATGTCAATGCCCAAAGCCATTTTGTACACTTAGCGCAGGTTTGTTGAGATAGTTTGCTTATGTGCAATTACTGTGTTCAAGGAATGGACCTTTTAATGCTTTTAATATATATTCTCTCATAGATGTACAAAATAGTTTTACCACTTTATATCACTCCCATCATTGTAGGAAAGTAATTATTTCATTATATTGTCATTAAGTATAATTAAAAATAATTTATAGGAAAAAATTGAATATCATTTTGTTTAGCATTTGTTCAAATTTSTAAAAATGCAGACATTTCAATGTTCTTACAATAGACATTCTTCTTATATTGAATTTTCCTCTCATTTCCCAGTTGTGTGTTTATATGTATCTTACCATACTATTGTCATAGGAATTTATCTTCTTTTACTTAATTAACACATAGAATAGTTAATATTGGAAATTCTAGTCCAAAGCACAGCTTGATAAATGTTGATGGGGTATTTTATATAAAACTCTGATTCTATATAATTGAAGATAACACTGGCTTTTCTAATAGATAAATCCTCATATACAGTGAGTCAGCACAATAGAAATTTATCTCTTGCTCATGTTAGTGTTTCATAATGACTTTTCCCAGTTAAACATCTTCCTCAAAGTCATTTAAGGACAAAACCTCATTCTGTCCCATGATTTTCCTTTTCCCTTGGGCTATCCACACAGCTGTTTCCATTCAGTGGTGGAGGGGTGAAAGGGAATAGGGATGAAATTTGGGAGAATTTTATGGCATCCTGGAAGTGCAGCAGTCCTTATGCACACATTCCATTGACTCAAACTCAATCCCCTGGCAACATTAATTGCAAGGAAGTAAAGAAAAAGGATGTGGTGAGCATCTATCCAGTATTTGCCCAAACTTCTATACCTGAAATGGAAAAATGTTTTCAAACAGTCTGATTTTGTTCCATACTACATAAGTGTACCTGGGAATAAATCACTAACATTGCTGGGATTATGTACAAGATTTAAATATGGAATGTGAAACTTAAAGTATTGATAAGAGATATATAGATTTTTAAATAGAGCAAAGTGGTGGGGAAAATTTTTTGAATAATCATTGAATGGCTTTTAGTTTAGACAATGCAAAAAAARTGGAGTTTGTTGGACAAAGTGACCTTGACAAATAACTTTTGATTAGGTAGCATTCAGTGTATAAGAAAATTAGTATAATCAGCTCAACTAGTAAACTGGCTTATTATAATGTTATTTTAATTAAATATTTTAGTGAAAAAACTGTTTATGGATTGGGGAAAATCTTTGCAAATCACATATATGATGAAGGTTAGTATATAAAAGAACAATCCTTACAACCTGATAGCAGAAAAACAATGGGCAAAGGTCCTGAATATACATTTCTCCAAAGGAGACATAAAAAATGTCCAAAAAGTATATGGAAAGGTGCAGATTATCACTAACCATCAGGGAATGCAGACCCACTATGAAATATCACCAAAAAGCCCTTAGGATGGCTGTTCTGAAGATAAGGGAAGTATTGGTGAGGATATAAAGAAAGGGAAATGCTTATACTGTTGGTAGGAATTTAGATCAGTTCAGGCATTTTGGAAAATGGTTTGGTAATTTCTAGAGAAATTAAATTCAGGATGACCATATGACCCAGATATCCCTCTTCTGGGTACACCCAAAGGAAATTAAATCACTACTTCTTGAAGATATTTGCACTGCCATGTTTATTGCAACATTATCATTAATAATAGCCAAGATATGGAAACAATCTAAATGTTCCATCAAAGGATGAATAGATTTAAAAATAACTGTGGATGTATGTATATACTCAGTTGTATATGCACATAAAAATACAAAATGGAATATTTATTAAGCTTTAAAAAGGGAAATCCTGTCATTCATTACAACATGTCTGAACCTGGTGGAAATTATGCTAAGTGAAATAGCCGGACATAGAAAGAAAAATATTGCATGATTTCAGTTGTACATGGTATCTTCTTTTATTAAGAAATTAAAATACAGAAATAGGGACAGAGTGAGGAGAAGGGGAATGGGAGACATAGATCAAAGATACAAACTAACAGATATATAGGACAGACATTTCCAAAGATCTAATGTATATCACGAGGACTAAGTTTGTCATTGTATTTGGAATTTTTACCAGATGAGTAGATTTAAATTGTTCTTGCCATACACAAGAAATGGGTAACCATGTGAGAGGATGGATATGTTAATTCACGTCACTATAATAAGTATTTAATTAGCTTTATTTATCTTAAAACATCATGTTGTATACCTTTAACGTATGCAGTAAAATTTATTTTAAAAAATCAAACAAGAATTCTCATTTTTCCATGTGTACAGGTTGCAGGATCACATTGGTTATATGGCCACGCCCATTTGAATCAAATGTATGATATGTCAAGATCATTGTATTGTCATGGGCAACTAATAAAAAAAAATCAAACAAGAATATTTTAGCTCTCTTTTTTCTCCTTACACAGGTGATTAAAGTGTACAGTGAAGATGAAACCAGCAGGGCTTTAGAGGTACCCAGTGACATAACTGCCCGAGATGTTTGCCAGCTGTTGATCCTGAAGAATCATTACATCGATGACCACAGTTGGACCCTTTTTGAACACCTGCCTCATATAGGTCTAGGTAAGTTTACAGAATCATAATCTTGCATCATTTTTTGTGCCCTGTAGGTCATAGGGCAAAAATTTTCTTCAGATATATAAAAGTAAACAAAARGGAATATGATCAGATCTTTTCTTTACTTTTTATTTTTCATTGTTGGTGATTGGTCATGAAAGTATCACCAAATGGAAACAAGAATAGAAATATTATAAATTTAGCTTTGTTTCTTGTTTAAATAATGATATACCAGAATTTTAGAACTAAACCATAGAGTTTAAATCTTCTTCTTCTTCTCCTTCTCCTTCTCCTCCTCCTCCTCCTCCTCCTCCTCCTCCTC